GACTGTGATCAGTTCATCCAAGAGGACTTGCGTCTTCACCTCTTCGAAAATGGAAATGGTATGAATTGCGTATTCCAGATAGACACTGAATATCTGACAGTCGGGTTTCCGGAGGACTTCCTGCGTTCGTCTCCCGGTTTCATCGATCACAAATTTGAACAGGAATGCGGAGAGTGGACATAACTGACGGATATCAGTGTGCGTACGGAAGCTTTTAGAGAGCTTGCGTTTGCTCTCACAAGTGCGGAAGTCTGCGGATACAAGGAGTTCATTATGTGCACGTGCGTTCATGAAATTCCCCGATAAGCAATTGCCTCAATTTGAACAAATAAGTCAACAGAGTTGAAAGCGCGTTGTAAATCCGAAAAGAAGAAATGTGGGTCGCCTATACCTACGGCGTTGTTCTAGCACCTGATGGAGTGTACATTGGTCGATGAGTGCCCCACAAGGCGGGAATTCCGCTTTTAGATCTCGTTACATTGTCCCACGAGTAATCAGCATGCGATGGAGCACAAGCAACGCCTATAATTTTATTTTGTTCTGGGCCAAGCTGACCCTCTTTGCAACACTCACTACAAGCCCCCTTTGGAAAATGGGCACTATTGACGGCTCCCCAGTAGTTCCGAACAAACTGCCTTTTCCAAATACAAGCGAACAGATCAGAAATGCACTGGGAGAGGTCTTTAACCTCATCCGTGAAGAAGTTCGGTGGGTTTACATCCGTACGACAGAATTGGTGGTAATTAAGGGAACATATGCAGTCATCAATCCCCAAGGCTCCAGCCCGTTAAACGTTAAATGTCCAGGGATCTACATCAAGTGTGGGTTCCAGATGGGTGCTGGGTGTTGGCCATGGCAATTGTTGGTCAAAGTTTTCGAACTCACGCTTGACATAATAACTCCTTCCCGATGCATGATGATCTCACGGATGATTAACGATGTTCCATCGCATCGGCTTTCTAGACATCTTTCAACTCCTTGGCTTTCTGTGTCCACCACACTTTACGGTTGGCCCGCACGCTCACCTTCACTTGACGTCTGATAATTCGTCTCATTAATTTATATTCCGGGCCTACTGGAAAATTCCTTTGAGATTAAAGAGGTGCCAACCTTCGGTATTATTTCCACTGATTGACTGCGCCCCGTGGTGCCATGCCACTGACTTAATTCCCAGCATGATGCGAGGGGTGGAATCCAGTTCCAGAATGTTGCCACATCTGATGGCGAAGTATTTGGGAGAGACTGTAGATGATGCGAGGGGTGGAATCCAGTTCCAGAAGTATTTGGGAGAGACTGTAGCAGGAGATTCATTTAGGTTCACCTAAAATCCGAATCTTCCAATTTGTTTTGTTGTTAAGCGATTTGCATGATCGTACGCGGCCCCGGAAAACGTGTAATGATGCGGCTCCAGATAGGCCTGTCGCGGGAATTCACAATTGTGTTCCAAGGCGACCAGTAGTCACTTTTCATCTACCACATGGGAAGCTAATGGGAATTCGGTCGATTTGAGTTTGTGGACGGCATACTCCTCGAAAGCACCATGAGGCTAGATGACTCCCGCTATTCCGCAAGTGCGTGCTGCCTAAAATCAGACTCCGATCATCACACAGCTAAAACAAACGCTCACCATGTCCCGTACGCACTTTGTCCAATCGATGTCAATCAGCTTTGATAAGCTTTCCCAGTTGGGCACTCAAACGTCCTGCAACCACCACGATGTTTGAGCTTTTAGGCCGCTGCAGCCGAGGATTCAGGTTGTCATAGAATCTGTCTTTGGTGGCGTTGCAGCTGCAGCCAGTTGTGATGCGGGCAGACACTATACAAAGACCTCTAACAACTTCTGACTGGAGACATATTCATAAACTTCGCAACACAAAGCGAACAGAGACGCCAATCTGCTGGTATGCAGTCAGGAAAGTACACAACCACCCGGTGACTTGGGACGATACTACTTAATGCACACTCCGTTGCAGCAGCCTCCGGATGGGCGGAGGTTCTTAGCCAGAAGCGAGTAACGACCGATGGGGCAGTCAGTTCAACCGCTGTGCTTGCATATTGAGCTCTTGTTTGTGAGACATATCACACATCATGCCAAGCTAGTCAAATGTGAGAAAAAAAGTGGCGTTGTCCTTCTTGCTCAAGAGTGGGCGCATTGAAGTTGACCAGAATGAAAAGTTGTGGAGGACCTAAGATAGATTTCAAGGAACCGGACGATGTCAGTGCTTTGTGACCAGCGGATGTTCCCAGCAAAAAAACAATGCAAGTTGAACGGAGTCATCAGATCAAGGTGCTGATGGTGGCACTTGTACATGAAAAATAAAATCAGTATGAGTCGTTAAGTGTTCTACGAAATGACAGCCACTTCATGTCAGAAGCTCATGCGATGATATACTGATGCAACAGAAGTCCTACACACATGAAAATCACAAGCGGTCTCGGGCCCCGCAAATAAACAGAAAACAGGGGTACACCTCTGAATTTTTAATTCGTTTTTATCAAGAACCCTGAAAATAATTTGGAAGGCGGCTAAATATGATGATCATGGGCACGTGGATAAAGTGGATGCACAGGAAGTAAATAGTGGAAGAATAAACCGTAAACTGTGTATTTGCCCCATTAACCAAAAAGATAGATAGCTCGATGCAAACGCTCACTATGGAAAACAAATCGCTTCTAACGCAAACCACCAGGAGAATAACGCGCAGCCTTGATTGCCGACATTTTGACTCACCATCCAAGAAAATGCAATATTTTCACAATCCTCCGCCAGAAAACTAGGAGGAGATCATTCATGGGTTTATGGCAAAAACTGAAAGTCGTTACGGGGCTTAAAT